ACGATGATGGACCCATTTGCTGAGAAATTCGTCTAAGATTTAGATAGAGGTGAAAGCCAAATATGGAGATACTTTACATGATTATCCTTGTGCATCCCATGATTTGGATACTTGCTCATCAACTCCTTAAATCCGTTCCAAGCTTCATGGGAGTTTTCCCCTCATGTTGCTAGAATGTAGAAATATTCAGTCCAATTTTTTGCTACTTTTGCAGGTGGGGAGAATTTATTGCTAAATTTCTTTGACAAGTCATCTCCATGTCTTGATCAATGTTCTAACAAGCGCGCCTAGGCAGCACATAATCGAAGCTTGATTGCATCGTCATTAATCCCTCTAAATTGAATTCTGACAATTCTTGAGGAATCTTGAGATATGCATGTTCGGGTTTTCATGATGCAACCCATAGAATTGGAGGGTGATGGTGGTCAAGTTGATAAAATCAGCCCTTATCTAAAAGTTATTCTACCAGAAATTTGGTTATACAATACTGAAGCGCTCGAGCGTTTTTGCAAAGTCAAGAACGGTGAAATTGACAAGTCTCCTTTATTGATTTTTACTTGTTCATGTTGCTGATTTTGTGATGCTCTTGCACAATCGGCAGTCTGAGAATATCTTCCACAATATGAGATTTCTGTGTTTCTTGAGTTTTTGCTTGGAGGTATATTTTATTTTCTAATCAAACAGTTCAAAATTGTTGCATTGAGAATGGAGTATACAATGAACGCTTTTTTATATGTAAGAAAAAGCAATTTAAATTAATCAAATAAAAGTCAAAAATAAACTACGATTAAATATAAATTGTCCAGAACAAGGATGTCAAAAAACAACTTGTTTTTTCTATCATAAATGTACGATATCGAATAAGTAATATAGTAGACATTAGTTCGGATAATCGTTTCCATAAAGATTATTATTCAATTCCTAAATTTCTTACTTTTAACTTCTAATTGACGAAAACAAATGAATTTGGAGAGCGATCATCTAAATTATTTTAACTAAATATTAATGAAATGCACACAATAATGGAATTAGGGTTTTCACTATGAATCAGAAATTAGGGCGTACAATTTTATTTATCAATCACCTTTAACTGATTCTTTACTTAACTATTGTTTGGCCCCCATTATTTGAGATTATAATTTTTCGAATAGTTTTTTTTATATGTGTTGTTAAAGAAGAAAAAAAAAGTTTTGGGTTTATATATAATGTTATTTTATTGAATAATAAGTGATTGATAAGAAGAGAGTAAAATATGGATTATAATTTTAATGGGGGCCAAATGGGGATTTAGTATTGTGTTTGGTCGGATTCTTCAAAAATATATAATTTTCTTCTCTCGAGTTCAAATCTCTTCTATTTAATTAAGTCAATTCCATATCTTTATGTGAATTCGGATAAACTTTAATTAAACGCCTTAGATTTCTAAAAATTCATATAACGACCGCACTAACCATGAATGTTTCTCTTTAGTTTTATCCAAATTACCAAATTTTATAATGTGATCTAAATCTACAATTTACCTCGGTTCATTATTGTTAATAAAATGGGCTGCATCACTATACTATTCTGTTTGGGCCGTTTGCGCTGTTGGGCCTGTTAAGTCTAATGGGTTGTGGCCTCAATGTTTCAGCCTTACACGTGGCTGACTCTCTGCACTTGAATTGCAACTGTTCACATGTTGACTTGGTTCTTGGTGTTCTGGACATTCGATATCATTCCACTCTCACTTCGTCTCTCTCTGTACTCCTTTCTTCTCTGAGTGTAGATTAGGCTTTACTCTGGTTTTGTCACCGTAATCATGCTGTGTGTTCTTGTCAATCCATTCTTAGTGAAGTCTGTATAATAGTGTATAGATTAAAGGTTAGTTTTGGTGATTGCATGTCTGTATTGTTGAGGCGAGATTA